GCGGCAGGTTGCGGTGGGCACGCCGCCGTGCGTTGCCAGCGAGCGCCGCGCAGGCTGGAAAACTTCTCCCGCTTTGCCCGGCCAGGCCAGCGAAGACTTTTCTAGAAATATCTGTAAATGAGTAGCTGCCATCAATCATTGTCATTCCTTTATTTCATGTCTCCTGATGAGGTTGACTAGTGTCATTGTTTGTTACTGTCCAAACCACATCTTCATTCTTGTAATGTCAAGCAGATATGACAAGCACACATTTTCCAGATGAGTAAGATACAAAGTCACCTTTTAATTTACAGTTGTTTGGGTTTTTTTGTTTGTTGGGGGGGTTTGTTTTGTTTTGTTTTTTTTAATAAGCAAATGTGTCATAAAATTTACCGGATGTTCAGTTGCCTTTGGTACTAAAACAAAGTCACTCATTAACAAAAAGAAATAAATCTGGAGTAAGAAATTCTTACAATAAAATGGCTACCTAAAGCCTTTTATAACAAGAATTCTTTTATGGAGCTTGTCCCCCGCTATTAACTTCACCGCTCTCAGAGCAAAATCTGCCAAAATTATTGCTGGAGCAAAAGAAATGCAGAGGGCAGGGAGATACATTTAAAAAAAAAGAATGAGGGATTTGTCTGATTTGTCTCTTCCTTTTTAAATAACAGTTAGATAAAGAGAAATACAGCCCTCAGAGGACCAAATGGTGGGACGGTCCTTTGGTTTTCATTAGGATTGTTGTTGTTGTTGCTGTTGAAACCTTTGTGTTCCCGACACGGGCAGATTTTTAAGACTCTGATTTCAAACACTTGTAGGGAGTGCGTGCGTGACAGGGGGCTAGTTCATGGAGTCAGTATGAAATGCAAACTGGATACAAATGAACAAAACAAACCCGGCAGTATTAAAAAAAAAAAAAAAGACTGTAACGTAGGTGACCAAGTGTAATATAAAAGGCCAGAGTCTGCACTTTTCCAGAAGAAAGGTTTGTGGAGCCTGTGCCGCCCGTGTCTGTGCTGGCAGCCTCCCGTCCGAGACCACCATCGAACACCTTTCAGCTGCAGTTGTGTGCGGCTTGTCTAAATGTGTAAGAGAACTTCTGGGGGCCTGCAGCAGCATTTTGGCTGGGACCCCGAACAAAGAAGCACCAGTGAGTTTGGCACGGCACCTTGGGGAGGGATTGTAAATTACTGGAGCATCGTATAACTTTCTTTGTTTTCTCCTTTCTTTTTAGCTAGAATAACAGAGCAGGGTCAAAAAAGCAACCGTATTTGACCGAAACAATTAATTTAAAGTACTAACAAATTAGCTGTACAGTTTGGGTGTGAATATTAGCCATTCTCTTTTTGTACTGTGTTTAAAATCTCATTCAAACTGTACAAGCCATTTTGAAAGTGGTCATATTATACATAAAACTTATTTCATATGCAGAAGTTGGCATTATTTTAAATCGCAGACCAGCTGTTTGGAGCGGAGTAATAATATGTTTAGGTCTATCCTTTTCTTTTTGTATGGCCTAGGAAGTTTAATGCTTTCGGTATAATTTGATTCCTAAATTTCATTTTTAAAAGCAAGTCCATTGGAAAAATCAAAATGCAAAAATAAATTGCAAGTTGCATGGGGTGTTTGTTTTCTAATTAAGGGAAGGTGAGTTTAGTGTAGGATTTTCCTTTTTAACCTGCTCCTAGTTATTCTTAAGAATTTTAGGCATCTGGCCCAGAGCAGATAATCCATTTAAGAGAAATACATGTGTGCATTACCATTCTCCAGAGACATCTCCAGTTCACACCACGCCGGCTTTATCGCCCGGGTGGGCAACGTGCCCCCACCCAGCCCCGCGGGGCTGCTGCAGGGAGAGCTGCGGCTGCTCATCTTCCTTCCCGTGGCAGAAAACCACCTTTTAAACCGCCGACGGAGCAGATCATGTGCTCATACTTTTTTGGTCACTCGAGCTCATGCGATGCCATGTGTGATGCCTCTCTCCTCAGGTGGTTGTTCTGAGGTGGGGAGATTTGAGGCAAATGGGTGCTTCCGAGCGGGCACCCAACGGGATGCTCAGTAAGGTGTAGCTTCAAAGTAATTAATGAAAGTAAAATTAATGGACAGTCGTGAAGGCTGTTTAATCACTGTGTCTGTTCTCACGCTTGGCAGGGAACGGTCTGTGCCCCTGCCTTGGGCAGGGAGATCTTAAAAAGCCCGGGACAGACCCTCAGCTCCGTGGAAGCCAGCAGAGCTTCAGTCGGTTCGCAGCAACCGAAGGTCCGCTCTGTGCCCACCTTGCTCAGAGAACAGAAAGTGGGGAAAAGCTTATTAGTCTGGAGTAAAAAAATAATAATTTCAAACATGCTTTCTAGCACATCTGCTCAAAAAAGTTCACCAGCTAAAGGGCTAGAGGACTCTTCAAATTTCCAGCTGATTTACTCGGCGCTCAGAGCCTCGTTGGCTGAGCAGGAGGATTGACAGTGTATCAGGGCTTCTAATTGAAAAGTAATAAAATCTCTGAGCAAAGCTGGCAAATGAAGGCCTCCAGCCAATTTGTCAGCTTGCAGTCAACTCCGAGGAGCCGGGCAGAGCAGCAAGCCATTAAAAATAGTCTGATAATATCTGTTAAAACATTTTGCGGGCTCTAGGGATGGAATCGAAAACGGCATAGACAAACTCTTTGGGAGCGAACGCGATCAAATTGATCTTGGCCCACAGGGACAGAGACGATGGGGCAGAAAGCTGTCCAAACAGACAGGAGCTGGCCTGTGCCGGGACCCCCGGGGCTGGGTGGGCTTCGCATCCCATGCCTGAGGATGCTGGAGAGGTGCCGTGGAGGTGATGGGCTCGTCAGGGACGTTGTCCCCGTCCCCCGAGCCAGCCCTCGTGCTGCCACATTGCTCGGCACCGGCGGCGGCTTCTTCTTCTGTCCCCGTGCTGAATGCACGGAGCCGCCGGCGGAGGTGGAGGGGGGGTTTGGGACCGGGCAGGGGGAGGCGGCAGGACCTGGTGCGCGGAGCGAAACAGGGGAGAGGACCCTCAGATATTAACCAGCTGTAGGAAAGATATCAGTGTTTATTCAGCAGGGTTTTAATGAGGAAAATTGCCAGCTACTGCTGAATTAAGTATTGCTAGTAGCTAATTGAAATGTTACATGTTTTAATTTGTCTGATTTCTTTCCAGTGGGTGATGTTATTTATATAGTTTGTATATAGCTAACGACAGACTATACAGAAAATGTAAAGATTGCTTCCAATGATCAGTAGTATCTGAGAGCACAGACATGAACGAGGTATTTAGGAAGACATGCCATCCTTCACAGCTTAATATCAAATACTAAAGCGTATATAAAAGAACACTGTCTCATTATCATTTAAAGCTGTTTTTACTTTATTTTTAATTTTTTTAATTAAGGATTTTTGGTTTTTGTGGTAAAGAGGGATTTTGTTTTAAAACAAATACAGTTACCATATACTACTATTGCGGAAAACCACATTTTTGTGTCCTTTCAGCCGCATTGTTTCAAGGCCACCCAGTTCCCCTAGGAGGCTATAAACAGGGGAAGGATTTAAATCCAATTTTCTTTGTCGAGGATTTGGCAAGAACCCATATAGTAGGAAGCTGAGCACGGACAAAACCGAGTGAAAGGTGTCCTTTAATTCCCCGGCCGCTGGTAGAACAAAGCCTGCTCCCAGCGGGGTCCCGGCTGGCCGCACCCAGGCCGGCTTGGCAGCTTCATTTCAACTTCTGAATTCGGTGTATTTTTAGTTAACCATGTTGAGATTAATTAATTAGCCCCTAGGAGTTAGTGCCCGTAAACGTCACCCAAAGCAGAGAAGTGTGAATACGTTGGGGCTCTTAATTCACCCAAAAATGGCAGCTCGTAATCCAGGCGGAGGAAACTCAGTCCCTCCGTCGGGATGACTGGCAGCTCCGGCGCACTGTCAGGTTACTGCCTCAGTGACAACAAACTACATATCAATTTAACTTCTTAGCGATGCTTAAAAGAGCATCTTTTTGTTTCAGTGAGGTAGCATTTAAAGTTGCCATTAGGAAAAAAAATTGCCGTGGGGAGACAAACATTGGCGTTTGGATAAAGAGCAACATAACTGGTCTGATACCTAGAAAACCTAGTAAATGTAGAGAAAAACTTCATTAGAATGGCAGAATCTATTATAATTAACCGCAACTCTCTAAATAGGAGCTAATTTACTTATGTGAGCCAAAATTCTGTTAACTCATCGCGTATTGTAAGATACAGAGTTAAGTTCTTGGGTTTGTGTTCTGGTTTTAAGTACAGAATAAATGCACTATAATGAGCAGCTGACGAGATGTTAATTCTAAAATCTTTTGCCTAAATGCAGTAAGATAGTCAATAACTGATGCAAGTTGACAATGGGAGGTGAAAAGTGTACTGTATAGCCTGCAAAGAGAAAAGTTAATGGCAATGTAGGGA